GGCTGTAATCTGCCACTGCAGTCACAATTCATGATTTTGCAGAGAGTTAATGAAGTGAGGGAGGACTGGAGACACAAAGTCTCAGCAGCTGGCTGGGGGACACACAGATTTCAAAGGGAGAAGCTTTTTTGTTTTGTTTTGCTTACTCTAAGAAGCAAAAACTTCAGCCTGGAGGCCTCAAAACTGTAGATCCCTGTAGCTAAGCCCAGACAAGTCTTCACGCATTTTGGCACATATGGGAATAAACGGACTTGGATTTCTGGATCGTACTCAATGCTGTGATTACAGTGAGGTTTCCTGGATATCCAAAAGGCGATCGCAGCTGACCCGGGCAGATGGGGAGCGGTGTTACAGAGGTGCTTCCTCCCCACCAGAGCCTCTTCTCTTGAAATCCTTCAGCTCTCTGAGGTGCTTTGTCCTCCCGTCATCTAACTTAGGCTGTAATGCAGGGATGCAATCCCTGCTTTCGCAGAGAAGAGTAGCAGACATAGATTTCCTTTTTTCCTTCTCCTTTTTTCCTTCTCCTTTTTTCCTTCTCCTTTTTTCCTTCTCCTTTTTTCCTTCTCCTTTTCCTTTTTTCCTTTTTTTCACCCTTTCCCTTTCCCTTTCCTCCATACCCTGTAGCATACCATCATCCACCTCCCAGGAGCCATACAGTCTGTTACAGTGCCTTCCCTCTAATGTCACGAACACATACAGTTCGTGTTGCAGTCTGGAGGTTTTAGACTTAATACAAGTTCTGTCTGCTCCTTTTTTTGTTGTTGTTGTCTCCATCAGTCACTAATTCCTTCCTAAAACTCCTCTTCTCTAACCAAGGGGAAACCAATGGAAGTTGATGTCTCCCTCAACGCACCCTCCTTCTTTCTAGCGTCTGTTCTAACCCATATGTTATGCTTGTTTCCAGGTAAGTTATTCCACAGTCGTCTCTTCCCTATTGCTCTCTTCTGAATTGACCTTTCCAGTGCCATGTGAACTAAAGCTCCTGCATGAATTAGTAATTTGATAACGAGAGTCTGAGCCAACTGCCTGTATTGTCACACAGTCAAATATTAACTGTTAAAAAATCACCAGTGCTCTTTACACCAAACGATTTTCATATGTAAATGCAAACTGAAAGTTAAGCTGCTTCAACTTGACCTGTTAAAGTGACACGGTGACACGCGTCGGAGGCAGGTATGAGCACTGGAGAGAAGAGGACGCACCACTGCAGCCCCGCTTCAAGCGCGGCGAGAGGTAACGCTCAACGCAGGACACGCTCCTGAGCACCCTGTGAGCGTTCCGGTCAAAGAGGAGCATTAAATGTGTCCAAACCACGGGGAGGGGGCCATGCAGTTGAACAACTGTGCCTGAAGAGGGGTCCTGGTAGGATCTCCAATCCTTGGCACTTCACTCCTTGGGCTGTCCTCTAGCCCCGGGTGACCCACGGCCGCAGGGTGGGAGATTTCATCCGCGCATCTCCAAGCACAGAGATGCTACAGCAGTGGGACCGCGTGCTCTTCCCTTTGCAGCTGGTGGCCGGCTCGCGCTCCCCGCGGAGCGGAGGCTGAGCCTGAAAGCTGAGCGCAAACCAAGCCACCAGCATAGGCCACCCTCTGTCTACAGTAAGAGAGAAGAAATAGCAGTGCGTTAGGTGTCCCTTTCCCAAGGAGATGAAAATAAAGAGCAAAAAGACTATTTAGCTGTCGATACGCTGTTTGCACTGCAGGGCAGCCCTAAACTAGCAGAGAGTGGAGTGCATGCTTTGGAAGGAAAAGCCACTCATGGTTGTAATAAAACCAAATGCATAGAATAAGGAAGATAAGGACAAAAATGAAGTGTGTGTGGGAGCATAAAGAAGCAGTAGCAAAGGATACAAAGGTAAAGAAAACCCCAGAAGCAGTGAGACACCTCCACACAACACCCAGCCACCCCACCCCCAATTCCTGTTCCCCTGGCGGTGCTAAAGAACAAAGCTGGGTGGGATGGACGGAGAGCCATCGCCCGCGGGAATAACCTGGAGGATCGGGACTGTTGGCCCCCTTTGAAGCAGCCACACAACCTGGATGCAATTTTCATTTCCTGCAGGGGAAACTCAGCCTTGTTCTTCTGAAGTGGATAAACCAAGCCTCGTAAAACTAATTGTGGGAGGTGGTTTGACATGAGAAATTAAAAGTCAAGGTTTGGCCTCTCTTATGCACATAATAGTGAAGCGGGGGCACTTCAGATTAATTTCCCTTTTCCCTGAGTTTTCTTTTTTCCCCCAAAAAAGAGTTTTGAAACTGCTGTGAAACTGTATTGTTGTTCTCCAGAGCCAGAGGTAACTCTAATTCCATAGCATTCCTACATGGATGTCATTAATAAAATATTCGGGGCTCTTTTGTGACGAACTACCAATTTATCAACGTCAGGCCCATAAAATCAGTGTGGTAAAATGCAAGTGTTCCTTTCTGGATACGTTTTGGGGGAGGAGGAGGAACTCTGATAATATCTAGTTCATTCATGCTAGTGAATGACCAAGATATAATTGGCTCCACATTCTTCGTTAGCGAATATCGTTACTCAAAATAAAAATACTACCGCTTAAGTGAAAAGCCATGTGGGATTACCAAACTATTTAGAATTCTTTAGTTCCCTTGACTGATATTTTTAATGGCAAAAATACCTTCAAAGAATAAAAATGTCTACGTGGCATTTATGGTGGCCTTCCACAAACGAATCCCCTGTTTTAATTTTAACGTTTTTAACCTATGTGTTGTGTGGAGTGCGTATGTCCTTAATGAAGGAGCCAATAGAGTTCATTTTTTTTGTATTTTAAAGGATGAAATGTTGCTGACTAGAGCTGTTGAAATGTAATTGATAATGGGTGTGGAGGGAAAATTTAGCATTTGGGTATTTAAAGCTATAGACAGGATAATCCCCGTGTGCTCACAAGGATAGGGATTGCCTGGGAAGGGGCAAGCTGTGTGTGCAAGTGTGTGCTCCTGAGGCGAGACCTGAGGGGCAAATGTGGACAGAGCTCAGAATTCAGAGCACCTGGAGGCGAGCCCGTGGGTCTAGTTTTGGGTGGAGAGGTAAGGGGAGAAAAATGTGCTTTCTAACAGTGAAGAAAAGAGGCTGATAAGAGGCCTTTCCACCTATGCTTCATGACTGGCTTGTATCAGGAGTGGTGTGGCCAGCAGGAGCAGGGCAGGGACCGTGCCCCTG